ATATATTTTGCAAATTTATCATGACATTATTATTATTATTATTATTTTTAAGCAACGTGTTGTTAGAGTTTCTATTAGGGCTATTGTAAAAAAAATATGTTTGGCTATTAATTAATATCAACAGGAATCTGTGCAGCCTATTTATGTGCTTCTATTTTGGATTATAATCTATTTACAAACATATCGAGTGTAATTTATTTCTATTATATTATATATTGTAATGTGCCTTTATAGTGTATTCTTTCCATTTTGTGCCACCATTTAACTCGTTTAACATCCAAGACATAATTAATTTGTTTGTTTATTTCTACTTTTTTTTTATTTATTATTATTATTCTTTTGTTTTTGCACTTTTTTAAAATTGATCCACTTGGATCCAACGCTGCTTCTGTCTGGTCGGCTAGGATATTGAGACTTATGGAATATAGGAGTTTCACTTTTTGACGTGTTCATGTAACTGCACGTTGTAACGTGACCACGTCATATGTGGCTCGTAATAGATATGGCTTTCTATTTGTGTTTTCCAAATTTTTCGTTCTTATACTTTATGCTGAAAGGTGGCACATTGGCATATAATGGTATTGTGTTATATGTTGCCCTTCTATTTTTGCACTGAATATCATCATGCCCTGTTGGCTTCTGACATCATCATGCCTTCAAGTGCAATCTGGCTCCTGGTTCATAAGTATTCTGGCAATGACCAATTGGATAATTAAGTAAGCCTGCATTTTATGCATTGTGATTAATCAAGTTAATTGTGACGCCTACATTTTATTTATTGTTACTCCAGATGTAATTTTGTTTCTTGGCATGCTCAGTCTCCTTGTAGTTCAGAATCCTGTTACTGATCGAGTGGATGATTATGTAAGCCTGCACATTGTGCACTGCTACTAATCAAGTTAATTGTAGAACTTGCACTTTATTTATTGTCATCAACTTAACTTATTGTATGTTTTCTGTATATATTGTATCTAAGCATTATGGTGGTAGCTTGATAAAGACCGCAGTTGGGGTCGAAATGTCACTTTGTCTTTTTAGTAAATCTGCCTGTCATTTTACCTTGAGCGCCTGGACAATCCTTCTTTGTTCATAAAAATTACAAATTCTGACAAAGGTGGCAAGACAGTAGAAAAGAATATAGATGCATATGAATAGGAGGCCTGCCTTTGATACATATGTACGCTCCCTTGAAGATCCCTTTTAAAGAATTTGGAGGAACTGGTTGTGACAAACCCTCCTTACCCTGGAAGTTTTGTTTGATTTTAGCAGTTGCCCTTCCCAGAAAGACCCTGGATGTATAAACAGGTCCTTGTGGCAGGAGGCCCTCTGGATCACTGCACCTTTTGGAAAAGGCCACCAGACTAACAAAGACCCAGACCGATTGGAGATCTGGGGTCTGGTTAGTCTCCCCAGGAGCTGGCAGATATGTGACAAACACTCCTTACCCTGGACGTTTGTCACGAACTCCTGGAGGAGCCTGCTAGCTAGCCTCCTGCCCAAGGACTATGGGCCACATACAAAGATCCTGTGCGGGAGTTAAATCTCCCCAGCCTCCATTACCAGCTCTCCCTGGGTGCCCCTGGTTTGGCACTTTCCCTTCATTCGAATGGAACCGAACACTAGCTCCCTGGCGGCCGTTCGCTTGAAGAAACCGACGAATTGTCCTCAGTGGTACTTAGCCGCGATCGTTATGGAACTAAATTCGGCATGAGGTGACCGTGCGGCTCCCAGACTATTTCGTCCGTGGTTTTGAATGACTTTGAAATCCGCCATGAGAACGCTTTTTTTAGGGAAGATGCCTGAGACTAAGGGGAAAAAACTCTACCCGAGACCAAGGTGGAGCACCCTGTATTGCGGCCCCAGGAGCTCCCGAAAGTTGACCGACCAAAGCACAAATGCCCTGGAACTATTTTGGGCATAGGACCATGTGTGTGGCCAGTCAGGGCCCCTGACGAAGGTGCATTATTCAAAGCACAGAAACGCGCGTCGGGCGTTTTTTCCTTTTTATAATTTTTTTGATCATGGGCACTGGGCACTAGCTTATTTAAGCACTTCTTCTATGTTGAATATGATTCTGCTACTCACTATTTAATCTTTCTGCTTCTATGCCTGTCTAGATAGATTCAAAGGGAGAGAGGCTTTATAAAATTCTATTGTCAGTTTATTTGAAACTGACCTTTGATATAACACTGTCTACTCTCTATATTTGCTGTCTGACAGTATTTCTCCTCTGGAACCCTTTTTAGACCTATTGAGGTTATTTTTTGCTATAATGGTTTTTAATTTCATATATATTGTATCACTCACTGTAATTATACTATAACTACTATATAGATACTTTGGATTTACAATTATCTTCTTTCACCTGTGAATATAGTCTCCGAGATTCAGTCTTATTTAACCTTGGCAGGTATAGGGTGACCAAGAGGAGTGTCCTGGTTATACCAGAGTTAGGGGTAACATATTGGGACTGATTTTTCATTTTTTAAGCTAGCTTTTCAATAAAGGTATATATATTTTTATGTGATATCATATCCCTATACATATATGTGAGTTACCCTCTCCTGGTTTGTATATTGGATGCATAGTTGCATTTGCTACACTTGTATAAACTTTATTTATTTATTATTTTTTACGGTCTTATAATTTATCTTTGATTATTTTTTTGATTTATTAGCCAGTTCATTGTAATACGGATTCTACATTGCTATATATATAACCATACTGTTATTCTTAATAACCCTTTTCTCAATCCAATTTTGTTCACTCCACTACCAGCATAAGCACACACCTCAAATTGGAACACAGATTATCATACACTATGGCATGCTCTGTTCCTGTAACTTATCTGCTGAGTGCTGGTAGAGCGTTATAAAAAATAGCCCTCCTACCCCCACAAAATTATAAAGTATCCCATTCACTATATGGCCAAACAAAAATTATGTCCAAATTCCTATTCCTTATGTTACTTGCCCTTGCAAATGATGTGGCGTCCAACCCTGGTCCCCCAGCTAATTCTAGTCCTAATCTCCCCACTAAAAAAGGCCTCTCTTTTGTGCACTGCAACATCCATAGTTTACTCCCTAAACCGGATGCACTGCAAGCCTGGTGTCCCCATTACAAACCAAAAATCATTGTGCTCTCAGAATCATGGTTAACGACTAAAATACCAGACACCGCCATTGCAATACAGGGGTATTCATGTTTTAGAAATGACAGAGCAAAGAGAGGAGGAGGCATTGTTATTTATGTTGACAATTCCATAAAGTTTACCCCTTTACAAAACCTTAGTTCTCCTGCCACCTTTGATTTCCTTTCTGGCACAATTGAGATCCCATGCAGTAAATCAATCATTGTTGCAGGAATCTACCGCCCACCTAGCTCCCCCGTGCATTCCCTTTCTGACATAGCCCATCTCCTTAGTGAAACCATAGCTCAAAACCCAAAAAGTTAACTGTTGGTCTTTGGAGATTTTAATATTGATTGACTGAATCCTAAAAATAATAGTTCTTGCACGCTGTTTAAGACTTTGCAGCTATCGCAATTAATCTCTTCCCCAACTCGCATAAACATTAAAAGCCATAACCATACCCTGCTAGATTGGATTCTCTCCACTTCTCCTGATAGAATCCAGGAGGCCAGTGTTCTCCCAAACAGTTTCAGTGATCACTGTTTAGTGTACTGCGTGCGCAAAATAAAGGCTATTAAATCCTCTCCCAAGGTTAAAATAACTAGGTCCTTCAAAAAATGTAATCTTGAATCCTTTCTAAATGACATCAAGAACCTCCCATGGCACAGATTAAACATTATACCAGATCTAGACTGTGCTGTTGAATTCTTTAGTCTGAACTCCTACAAATTTGGAATTTGCATGCCCTGCTGCATAAGGTGAGGGTAAAAGGAGCACATATGAACTGGATCACAGCTGATCTCATCCAAATGTACCAGTTTCAGGATTCTTTGTGGTCAAAGTTTAAGCGTACTGGCTCTATGAATGATCACTGTGCATATAGACAATGGCGAAATATATGCACAAAACAGACAAAATTGGCCAAGGCCCAATATTTCTATGAAAATCTGAACAATAACATCTCAAACCCTAGAAACTTCTGGAAAGTCATACATAAACTACAAACTCCCCCAATCCACTCCCAAACCTCCACTGTCAAGGTAGATAACCAAACCCTGCAACTTCCCTTAGATGTAGCAAATGCCTTTAACAATTATTTTGTCGGATGCTCTACTGTCCTGATTGCCAAGTTAATAAATGACACACATCCTGAAACTACAAATGTAAAGGCCCAAATTCATTTTTAGACCTGTACCTGTTAGTGTCATTAAAAACCATCTTAATAATCTAAAAATGAAAAACCAGTCCGGACCTGATCAAATCCCAGCAATGCTGTTGAAGCTCAGTGCACCGGCAATTGCTAAACCCGTCGCAACTCTAATTAACGAATCCTTGGTGTCTGGATACATACCCAAACTTTGGAAGACTGCGAGAGTAGTGCCTATCCATAAAAGTGGTGACACCACTTTGGTTTCTGACTAACACCCAATATCATTGCTCCCGGTATTGTCAAAAATCTTAGAAAAATGTGTCCATACGCAACTATGTGAGTACTACCAACAATCAAACTATCTGACCCCTCGGGCTTTCGCCAGAATCACTCCACTACAACTGCCCTCTTAAAAGTTTGCAATGACATCCAAACTGGCATGGAACAAGGAGACCTAACTGGAGCTATTTTCCTTGATTTTGCAAAGGCCTTTGACACAGTAGACCACGACATTCTACTGCACAAACTCAAAAACTCAGGTATTGGTGATCGTTCGCTAACCTGGTTTCGATCATATGTATCGGATCGCTTGCAATATGAGTCCATTTCTGACAGCGACTCCCTCCCTCTCCCAGTCACGTGTGGTGTTCCCCAAGGTTCCATTCTCGGCCTCCTACTATTTACATTATTTATAAATGATCTTCCTAATGTCTGCAAATCCTCACATGTACGCGGATGACACAGTAATCTATGCGAGAAAATCCAATCTACTGCAGCTTGAGGTCCAAGACCAGTTTACAGAGGTAGAAAAGTGGATCGCAAAAAACAAACTCTTCCTGAACACTGACAAAACTGTCACAATGATCTTTGGAACAGTACCTAAATTACACAAATTACACAATTCCCACCTATCAATCAAAACAAATTCAAATGGCACACTGACCGCAGTCCACTCTTTCAAATACTTGGGTATGATGTTAGACCCCAATCTATCTTTTGGCCTCCACATAGAAAAACTTGCATCTAAACTTTATCCAAAACTAGGTGCCCTGTGCAGAAACAAATCCTGCCTAAGGCCTACAGTAAAAGAAAAGATTGTACAGCAAATGCTGATGCCAATCATTGATTGATGTAGTATATGCATCTGCATCGCAAGCCCACATTAATAAACTCAACACACTGTATAACTCGTTCTGCCGATTTGTGCTACAATGTAATTACAGGACTCACCATTGTGACATGCTAAAAGAACTAAACTGGCTGTCGCTGGAATCCAGACACACCCTTCATCTTTCCAGCCTTGTGTTTAAGAGCTTTTCTGGGAAACTCCCACCATTCCTGAACAAAATGCTTTCCCCAGCTGTTCCCACTTCATATAACCTCCGATCCAGTACCAACACTTTACTGAGTCTACCTCAATACAAAAAGAAAGTGGCCCGATCCTCCTTCTCCTACAGAGCACCGCAATTGGGGAACGACCTCCCGCACAATTTAAAATCTTCCCTAAGCCTAAAGTCCTTTAAGAGATCCCTCTCTACATATCTCAAAACAGAATGCACCTGTCATGGTTGATTATATATTTCCTACCTGTTCTATGTTAAATTTTGTATATATTGTGTATTAATATTGGTTTTGTATTTTATTGCACCCTAATGTAACAATGCAATGATTTGTGGACCCAGGACATACTTGAAAACAAGAGAAATCTCAATGTGTCTTTCCTGGTAAAATATTTTATAAATAAATAAATAAATATCCAGTGAATGCACCTGGTCTCAGGGCTTCATTTGCACTGAGACCAGTGGCATTCTTGTTGTTGTTTTGTGAATTACTGATGTGGGGGTTAAGCCCCTTGAGACCCCTGGAGTCTCCTTGTGGTACAGAAGAGTAGTGGGTACACCCGGCACTATTACCTTTGTGTGGAGTGCGGTGGATTGTACTCACTATCTTCCAACTTTTGTTTGTTTGTCCAGTCAGAACTTTGACTAGGTGACATTTACCCTACACAGCATGGATCTGAACTCTATTTAGAAAACTTGGGCACTTAGATCATGGCTATTTAAGGATTTAATTATTGTGGGGTTAGTATATATTTGTATGATGTTTTGGGGCATTTACATGTTTTATGCTCAGTCATCCTGACTCACAAATTCATGGGTGTGTTGTGGGAGTGTTGTGGGTGTGTTTAACTGTAACCCTGATGTGTATAAAAGCAGGCCATCTGGCCAGAATAAATTATTCCTGTTGTACTCTTTATCTAGTCTAAGCTGATGTTTGGGTAGTTTAGAGCTTTAATCACTGCTTCACTTGGGATTTAAGAGAACTACAGCGGAGGGGGATATAGGGAATCCGTTACACTGGTGCTCTGGGGCTTTCCCCTGGGTGTACTCAATGAGAAAGGGAGATAAATAAGAGTTACAACATTCATAGTTTTATCAACTGTTGCACTAAAAATAGAATCTGTCTTTTGTCAGTGAAATTCTGTCTTTCTGAAATACTAATTTTTCAGGGGGGGGTTAAGAGGACTCTATACGTACTCAGACCACTTCATCTCAATGCTGTCTCCCAGTCTGCTTAACCCTGCAGGAATGGAAATGCTTACATTTCAGGGTTAAAGGACCACTATAGTGCCAGGAAAACATACTCGTTTTCCTGGCACTATAGTGCCCTGAGGGTGCCCCCACCCTCAGGGTCCCCCTCCCGCCCGGCTCTGGAAGGGGGAAAGGGGTAAATCTTACCTTTTTCCAGCGCTGGGCGGAGAGCTCTCCTCCTCCTCTCCGCCTCCGTTACGCACCGCCGGCTGAATGCGCACGCGCGGCAAGAGCTGCGCGCGCATTCAACCGGTCTCATAGGAAAGCATTTACAATGCTTTCCTATGGACGCTGGCGTGCTCTCACTGTGAAAATCACAGTGAGAAGCACGCAAGCGCCTCTAGCGGCTGTCAATGAGACAGCCACTAGAGGATTAGGGGGAAGGCTTAACCCATTCATAATTATAGCAGTTTCTCTGAAGCTGCTATAATTATGAAAAAATGGGTTAACCCTAGAAGGACCTGGCACCCAGACCACTTCATTAAGCTGAAGTGGTCTGGGTGCCTAGAGTGGTCCTTTAACATGCTTATATTGGCTATTTCCCAGACAGCAACTTGAGACTCTTCTGCCACAATAGTCAAGTAAATCGCCAGGTTAACTGATTGGCGCAGCACGGAGCTTTGCTGTGTATGCTCGCTAGCCTCCCAATGTCTCCCAATGGGGAATAACTGATGTTTGGGCGTGCTATGCCATCCTTCCCCCTGGACCTTGGGATCCTCCACAGACACAGCCGATTACTTGAAGCCGTCACTGTTGTAGACTGTCGGACTGGAGTTACACCTCCAGCAGTAGATGGATAAAACTCCATATGTGTAGAGTTTTAAAGTGAAACACATGTAAAAGTGAATGTACACTTGGCACCATGACCACTTGAAATCACTGAAGTGATCATGAAGCTTGGACTAACCCTTTAATGCCCTTTGGTATTTATTCAGAGTGGAGCAATCAATATAGTTTCACAGTGTTTTGATAAATTTAGCAGACACAATTCAGTTTATCCTTGATTGTTATAGTATTTTTTATTGGCTAGTCTTTCTGTTGGAGGTGTTTGTTTCATAATGAATCTACTATTTTAGCCTGTGCTAAAATGGTTATTGGAGATGTCTCTGAGGAAGTGCCTTGTAGGCACGAAACACCATTGCATCTTTCTCTTTATACAGCCCTCAGTATACCGTTTGTCCTTTTCTATTTTAATTATTGTTTGGATGGAATTTTGGAAATGCCCTTAAATGTAATACTGAATTAATGATCACTTACAAATACTTCAATAATAAATGATATTATACAAGCCTTTTAAAACTTTGCAACTGCAACCCTATCCCCATTCCATACCCTGCCATTGTGCTCAAGATAAAATTAAAGGCTGAGATAGTGGTAAAATAGCCTAGTACCAGGGATAACCCAAGGTCTTGATAGTGCCTGGCTCTTCTTCCTGTTACTCTTTACCAATACATTGCACCTCATATGCCTGCTCCCATCAAGCTAAATAACAGCCAATACTCCAGCCATGGCGAATACCAAGCCAAAACTACTTTTTTTTAGATCACCTAACCTACAGCAAATATGTATGTGAATACATTCAACTTACTCATCCTTTATGTTTACATATGCTCTTTAACATTATGCATTTGTGAGATCTGAAAAATTATATGTAAAAATCAACACAAAAACAGAAAATGTGGTCACACTTACCATAATAGTTTTGTCCTAGATATTTTCAATGACAGTAGTTTTACTTATGGATAGCTCCTCTTAGCAATAAGGACAGAATATTAAAATGTGCATGCTGGTAGATAAAGAGATGCATTAGGCAAATGTTTGAAAAAATAAATATATTGGCATGGGAAAATAACCAGGAAAAGAAATTTGCCATAAGTACAAAAAACAATTTCTTTTTTCCTGCTTAACAATGACAGCATTACACACGGCTAGTGCCTAAGCAGCATAAAAAGAATTGATGCAGAAAAACAAAATGTATTTAGAAATGTATACAACTGTATAAGAACGCTTTATAGAAGTATCATCTAGTTTGTACTGTATATGTTTGTTTTGCATACCATCTTTTTGGGTGGATGTAGTCCACAATATCTGGAATACCAAAGGTTGCCTACCCCTGCCTGGGCCAGGAACAAACTGGATTGGGATACTAATGTAATATATTAATCTTTATTATACATATAAAAGAACATAAAGAGTCATGTTAGATTATTATAATAATAAAATTAAAAAAAAAGTTGTAGCACATTTAATTTTCTTTTACAGTGGTCTTATTTCCATAAAAGATGGTGTCACATACATTTATTATCTATATAACAGTAAGGATCTAATAGCAGGTTTAGGTATAAAGCACATTACTAGTAAAGGCCCCCGCAATGAGAGCACTAGCCAGCTCCAGCCCATATTAAGTAAAAGGGAGGAGAAGTGGAAAGGGATTAGCAGCTCGTGACGTAATGGTGACGCGCCGACGTGCTGACGCTGGGCAACACGTCTGTCCCGGAAGTGATGTTAGGCAGGGTGTCTGTGGCTGCCAGCTGCTGGGAAAGGCCTGGGGCTGAACGGTTTTATCGGGAGCCACGGTGAGTGGGACAGAACGGGGGGAGTGCGGACACTGCTTTAACACAGGAGCAGCCATGGTGGGAGAGGAAAGTGTCAGGGCTGTAAACCTCCTGTACCCCACCCTGGGTACAGACAGGGGACCCACCCCCTAACCACAAACCATAACCACTGCATCTGTACAGACAGGGGACCCACCCCCTAACCACAAACCATAACCACTGCATGGGTACAGACAGGGGACCCACCCACTAACCATAACCACTGCATGGGTACAGACAAGGGACCCACCCCCTAACCACAAACCATAACCACTGCATGGGTACAGACAGGGGACCCACCCACAAACCATAACCACTGCATCTGTACAGACAGGGGACCCACCCCCTAACCACAAACCATAACCACTGCGTGTGTACAGACAGGGGACCCACCCTCTAACCACAAACCATAACCACTGCGTGGGTACAGACAGGGGACCCACCCACTAACCATAACCACTGCGTGGGTACAGACAGGGGACCCACCCACTAACCATAACCACTGCATGGGTACAGACAGGGGACCCACCCCCTAACCACAAACCATAACCACTGCATGGGTACAGACAGGGGACCCACCCTCTAACCACAAACCATAACCACTGCATGGGTACAGACAGGGGACCCACCCTCTAACCACAAACCATAACCACTGCATGGGTACAGACAGGGGACCCCCCCTTACCACAAACCATAACCACTGTGTGGGTACAGACAGGGGATCCCTCCCTGACCACAAACCACAACCACTGTGTGGGTACAGACAGGGGATACTCTCAACCACACACCACAACCACTATGTGGGTACAGACAGGGGATCCCCCCAACCACACACCACAACCACTGTGTGGGTACAGACGGGGGACATCAGTGTTGTCATAATGTTTATGAAGTGTGACATGGCACCATGTACAGGGGCATGACTGTCAAAACTTTATAGAATGTTCTTATTACCTTGCTAACTTTGTCACTGTCCTGAGATAAATGTGTATTAACTACAGTATTCTTACAAGTGGCAGCAGTGCTCTGATGCTTTCTTTGAATACAGGCCAGTCAAAGTCTATTTACATTATGTATTTACATTCTTATGTTGATGTTTGCTTTTGCAAGCATCATATTGCAGTTTCCAACCGATTCAGTTCTCCCCTTCAGACTGCTGTATGGCATTGTGTAAATACACAAGGTTGGTTTTGTGTTGTATTATGAAACAGGAATATGTGGTCATTACTTTTAACAGTTACACGTAAATACATCGACTCAGCATCTGAAGTAAAGTTTAAACTGAGGCTATTTCTTTCTTAAACTGAGGCTGTTTTATTCTGTGCTAAACCAAGCTGAGTTGCTTGTAACTGCTGTTTATGTACATCTCTGTGCAATGAGTGACAAGCCAACTTATTAGGTGTGATATTGGATGCTTTACTGTGCCCAAGAGTTTGCTATAGCTCAGTAAAAAAAGCACGGTTACAAATATAATAAATTTGATAAATCACTGATATCACTAATTAGATGCAGGATACACTGATTGTCACATCCAGTTCTCATATGAGGACCCATATGACATGGACATTTATGTAGCATTATCTGATATTTTACTGATTGAGCCCAGTAAATATTGCAGCTATGTTCCTTTAGTCTTAAAGGGTTACTTCAACCAATATAAGTGTTTTCATAAGACATTGATTTTTGGTTAGAGTAACCTTTTTCTGAGGTGATCTCCCCCACAACTTAAAACAAGAAATCCCACAAATATGAGATATACAGAGTCCGTCACCAAGTCTTAGTTCTTCCCTCAGCCCAACTGTCCTTGGCTGACGTTCATGGAGTAACCCTTTAATGGAATTTTCAACAAACATTAGACTCTGTTTGTGAACAGAAGCAGAGACAGTAATTCACAGCCAATGTTTACTAATCTAATGATTAGTCTTAAATATTGACTGCGCTTTCTCTGCAGTAAAAATTCTCCTTGGTTAGTTGAGACCAAAGCTAGTTTCCTTTCTTGCTGTCTGGAAAACGGCTTTGGATTTGGCGGTGGTTGCTGAACTCTGGGGTACTCACTTTTCTGTCTGGCTGATTTCCTTTGATTTAAGGCTTACTATAAGTTTCAAAGGTCTGCCGTTTTAAAGAAGTTGATACTCGCTAGTCTTAAATGTCTATAGTACATTTTATGTTTAAGATCCCAATTGACTGAGACTAAAAATGTAGCTGATGTTGTGTCTTTTCCGATTTGATTTACCAAAGGGTGGATTTAAATAATATAAACTTCAATAAGGCATCCGTCATTTGATACAAGTGATTTTACACTAGTTTGGACATGACTCTTGCTTTTTCAACCTGTTTTGGTGAACTTGTTGAAAAATAATGGGGAGCATCCATGACTGTTCTCACAAAAAAAGTGACTTAGTGTAACCATTCAAAAGTTGATAAAAGCCAGCAAGCGGAGCTTCAGTACCTAGACCGGCGCACCGCAGGAATCAAGGTAAGTAAACTCACCTTTTAAATGTTCACAGGAGCAGGGGGAAGTTGCAACCTATAGGAAATGGAACACTATATTGTTACACATTTACATTTCTATTTCTAACACTGTAGTGTTTGTTTTAAATGCATGCATGTTTTCATTTGGGGTATATCTACTAAACAGTGGTCTTTATACTCCTGGGCTTTTGTTTGCAAAGGGTATGTGTTTATTGGGAAATTTAAATTCCTAACCTGATAAAAGAGGCTCCCTGCATGGTCATGATGGCTGGCGGGTTGGCCAGTCTGTCAGTGGGCAGGCCTGTGACACTGCACATCCCATACCAATTCCATATCTCATTGTTGTGAGCTATAACGCTCTATAAATGCTACCAACCACTAACAGTCTGCAAATACAAAGGGCTAAATAATCGAAAATTGAATTAAATACATTCTCTCATATATAACGTAACAGTGCTGTTTTCACTTTAATATCATTTGTAACTTGCTTTGTGAGCAGATGTTAAGATTCTTGTATCCTTCTCTTTACAGTTGTGGTTACATAGTTAACCACAAGCAATGAAAGTGATAAAAAAAAACAAAAAAAAAAAAACAAACTTTCTCCAAAAAGTAAATAAACTAATAGATTAAAATGTGTCTGCCCTTACTGTTGTCAGTCACTTTAAGGATAACCCTTTTTAAAATATAAAGATAATATTTTATAGCCTTCATTTGCTTTGAAAAAGCAATTTTATGTAATGCTACATGTATAATTTCTGGTTAGAATAAAACTAGATTTGACAAATATTGATGTAATACTTTTCCCCCCCGAGTCATCTGCTGATGTGAAACAAACCATTAAATATGTCTGTAAAATGATTATGGCTAGAAAATACTCATTTGATGTGTAACTGTTTCTTTGTTTTATGGTTTAATTTTCAGCGGGTTAGAGAAGACACAATGAATGCAATAACCTAGCACTTCACCCCCTTGAGGGATACAATAGGATGGAGAAGCAAATACAAGGTGGCATTGAAAAGAGTGCCTCTTCACAACATTGCAATGAAGGCATGGAAGAAAGGAATGGTACATATTTCTCTGTGCCAGGAAATTGTTATTCTGCAAAACACAATTTGAAAGCCAGTTCAGAACAAAATGGCACAGGACTGACCACAGGGAGATTTGGTAATCACACCTTTTTTGTGCCGAAGCACACAGACTTCCCAAATTTAAACCTTGGCAAGGAACAGCAAACACACGAGCACTTTGTGAAGGAAGATGATGTATGGACTAAGGAATTCCTTTCAGAAGAGAGACTTGAAAATGTTTTAGCATCTGAGTTAAATGATAGGTTTGAATGCCAACTAATGCCAGAGACTACACAGTGTACTCACAGTGAGTCACTACCACCCTTTAAACTCGAATGTGGATGTGTCACTGATAATACAGGTTCATCTGGTGGCACTTACTCTGACATTGCTGACCACTCTTGTAGGAGAGGTTGTCATCCATTTTCTTCATATCAGCAACGTCCATTGGATGGGGAAGGGGTTGAAGATGGAGTGCTTGGGAAGCAAATGGAAGCTGATGAGGATTCTATCAAGGTAGCAGGTGGAAGGAGGGGAGCTCGTAAAGGGAGAACACGTGTTAATCTCAAAGAGGACTCTAGAAGGGATGGCCGGCAACATACATTCTCTGGTAGCAAGCATAAGCTAGGTCGAAAGAAAAGCCATGGTGATGGGAGGTCTATTCTGAAATCCATAATTCCTCAACCCTTAATTCTGCTTTCAACTACCTGTGTCCAGTTACTTATTGATTTGGTGCTCCTGATTGGGAAGTATGTAGAGATGTTTGGCACGCGACTATATACTTCAGTATTGCTGCCAGCTAGTGACCTAGGCCTTTTGAAAATCCAGCTGCAAACATTTGGGGTCTGGGCACGCCATCGTGTAAAGGACTCTTGGCATATGATTTGCTCATTTGGATTATGGCTTTTGCGTGTTCTGAAAATGCTATGTGCTCTACTCTTCCTGCTTTTAATGCTTGCTGTGGGTTGTGCCAGACTTTGTTGGCAATACATTAAGAGAGCTGCTGAACGAGTAGGAGGACATAACAACTGTGCATCTTGTATCTCCGTAAGATTACGCAGGATATGGGCCTTAATAACACAAAACAGGACCTTTAGCCGTTTAGTTAGCCCTCTCAGGAAATTGAAATCAAGATTATGGAGGTTAAGGGTGGAAAAAGAAACATCATGGGCCACAGCAGGATCTCCAACCACAGGTCGGTATCAGCCTGGGGAGGAAGTGGAACGTCTATTAACAATGGCGGACATTCCAGAGGAGGAGTTAAACCCATTTCAGGTGTTGGGTGTAGAAATTAATGCTTCTGAAACCGAGCTTAAAAAGGCATATCGGCAGCTGGCTGTTTTGGTAGGTAACATGTTTTTCCATGAAAGCAGATCTGTTTTTAGTTTTTGTAAAATTCTTCTCGCAACCTGTCTCCTTTTTGTCACAACTTGAGCCATCAGATTACTCAGCAGAGGAAGTGCTGGCAGGAAAATTAAACTTTAGGAAAAAAGTAAATAAATTTTACACAATTTAAATGATGATACACATCAGGAAAATGAAACACAGCCATAATGTAAGGGGAGAATTTTATTATGAAAAAAGTAATGACCTTACAATTCCATGAGCTTCTCTATCTTCTTCTGTGTTCTACTGAAACATGAGTCTTAAAGGTATCTCCTGCATGATTATCAAAGTCATAAATTAGAATAAAGGGAAAAACTCTGCTTTAATTATTGTTGCTAGTTATCACATCACCCACAATGAAAACCAGTAATCCCATCTAAAACTTAACCTGGCTTAGTCATTTTTACTTTATTTTTTTTGTATACATTTTTATTTTAAGCTTTAAATAAATGCTGTGCATGCGCCTTTCAGGTAGTTACTCAGTCATGACTTTTTGAGTGTGTGTATGTATGTGTATACACAATGTGAATTACCACATGATGCCTTTTCCTACTTAGTCCATATTAAGCATTTATTTAAGGGTTTGAAAATGCAGACTGCTTATATTGGTGGATTTGTTATATTCATTTTTTTTTTTTTTTTCCTCCTGCCTTTATCTCCATAGGTCCACCCAGACAAAAATAATCATCCTCGTGCAGAAGAAGCTTTCAAAATATTGCGTGCTGCATGGGACACAGTAAGCAATCCTGAGAAACGCAGAGAGTATGAAATGTAAGAATTGATATGGTAACACAAAGTTTGAGAAATAAAGTAAGACTTAATCTCTTTCAAAGCAAATACATCTCAATATCGTACAATTACTCTTTAGACCAGGGGTGCCTAAAAGCTAGACCCCCAGATGTTTTAAAACTACAGCTCCCATGATACCTTGTTATTCTAAAGTGCATACAAAGAATCTTGGGAATTGATTCCACCACATCTGGGGATATACCTTTTGGGTACCCTTGCTTTAGACACTACTCACTGTCAAATGAACAATCCAAGCACCATAACCAGTACAACCTCTTGTAGCGATTATGGTGCCAGGAATTCACTGGCAACATCCCACAGTAAGATGCCAGACCATTTTAGCATGGTTTCACAATTTACCTGAGTACCACCAAGTGTCCAGTCCTCATCTCGTCTTCTCAAACAGGACAGAACAAACGGGATGTTATTGTAGAGCAGTGCAGGGATGCAGTCATTGGCTTAAAGCATCAGCTGAGTTCTATCTTTCCTGCTCTGCTCTAAAGAGACATCTGGCTTCTCCTGATGGAAAAGACAGGATGCTATGCAGGCTCCTGGCAGAACCCATGTCAGCTGGGCACTCCAGGGATTATAACCCTTGCTGTGGGCTATAACCGTTATGGTGTTTGGAGTGTCCATTTAACGAATTTCCCCAAGCATAATTCTTAAGAAGATAATCCACTTACAGGCCGTTACAAAGTCGATCGTAACGACTTTGTTAGGACTCCATTATCATGATTGATTGAAGAGCATTTGTTGATATGACCTGATAAGCAAGCATTATGAGGTATCATGATCTGTGTATGTTTTGTACACAACACACAAAAGATCCTACAAACAAGATGAGGAATGAAAAATTATCCAACTACACACACTGCATGTAGAAATCACAGCTGTACATTTGACTTTGCCACTTGAATAACTTTGCATACTTCACATTGATCAGTGAAGCATCACCGATAACAATCACAGATTTGTGGATTAATGAAGAAGTCCAGGTTTTGAATGTAAAACCATTAATATTAAAATCGTAGTTGTTCAGTTTGCTTGGCTGGCTGCCTCAAAATGAGAAAGGTCCTTCCGACTTTTGCTTTCATGTATAAACACATCCATCACTGTCTCAACAAGCATTATTTGTCTTCACTGTTGCATCTCCTTCAATTTTAGGAAGCGAATGTCAGAAACAGAGCTGGCTAAGTCCATGAATGAGTTCCTTACCAAGCTGCAGGATGACCTAAAGGAAGCTATGAATAGCATGATGTGCAGCAAGTGTCAGGGGAAACACAGGTACAATGTAGTCTTTTATCTGAAAATGCAATTCCACTGATCAGAATGTGCCTATTTCATGAGGATCTGAAAGTACTTGCCAAGCAGGGTTCTTATCAACTATCTGGAATTCAAAGTGTTAAGAATATGGAATGGTCAGTCCTATTGAGACTGTAGTAACCTAATTACAAGTCCTATTGAGACTGTAGTAACCTGGTCACCAGTCCTTTCTTATTAAGGCTGTAGTAACTTGGTTTACTCCCCTCTGCCAACCTTGGACACTCCTCGCCACTAATGTTGTACTCCCCCCTTCTTTTTTACATTCAGCTCAGCCAGAGTTTTAATGCAATGTCCAGTTGTGCTCTCTTGTGGATGCTGCATGACTGAAGTAGTGATTGTTCTTCATATTGTTGGCATGGCCTTGATCTGGGAGTAAAGTGTTCTTTCCCAGTTATGTCATATTAATTTTGTCTGAACTATATTTGTCTGATGTATCTCACACAGACACCTAATATAAAGAATACTAAAAACAAAAAGTAATATGAAATGGGCCTAGAGTCATAAATATTGTTGTTTCAAAAGTGTCTACTTCATGTATTGGCTTGGAAATAATTTCTTGAAAAAACCCCAAAATAAAACATTAAAAAGCTGCATAATAGCATTGATTTTCTCTTACTTGAGTCAAGGTTAATGATCGATCTATAACACATTGCCATGTATCATAATACTCCAATTCAACATCTCCCAAAATGTTGAATTCCCCTTCACTTCACCTTAAAACCTTTGCATTAAAACTTGAATCCAGGTTTTACCAATCTTCATATGTACAGTCTGCATTTAACCAGATTTCCTACATCATGGGTCAACAGCCACTGATGGATACTGCCCAGTTGCCACATCCCACCTCCATGACATGTGAATAATCACTCTACTATATTCCTTTTCCTTGGAAAATTTGACATTTGTAAACATGGTAAAACGTTGCTTCTTGTATGATTAAACAATCCTGTTTTAATTAACAGGAGATTTGAAATGGATCGGGATCCTACAAATGCACGTTATTGTGCAGAGTGTGGGAAGATGCATCCTGCTGAAGAGGGCGACTTTTGGGCTGAATCCAGTATGCTTGGACTGAAAATAACCTATTTTGCCATGATGCAAGGAAAGGTGTTTGACATAACTGGTAAGAAATAGCCATTGAAGCTGTGTTTGCACACATAGCTATGTTCTAAAGGGTCACTCCAGCCACCATGACCACTTCTACTTTTAGAGATGCTCATGTTGGTAGGAGTCTGGATATGCAGTGATTCAGTTTGAAACACTGCACATAAACTGTTATTGGCACTTGTGTGTCGGGGGCAAGTTGCTGCCAAGACCTCTATTCCAGGCTGTGTAATGTCAGTTCTGCGCATATTTCACATCTGATGTCAGTGTGTGCTTGCAACGAACGTTATCAGTTTCTCCATTGCAGACAGTGTGTCTCTCCCTCCCTTCTTGTCTATAGCCCTGACACCTCTCTATAGAAATAAAAATGGTGCAGCACTCTTCAATGTTTATAAGTTCCCTTTCTTGTGCACTCACAGCAGCTATTTTATCAAGCCATAAAGTGAAATCAAACTTGGTGCAGTTAAATAGCAGTGCAAATCAGTCATGTGCTAGTCATATGACCTCAGAGAAACAAGTATAGAATGTCTGCAATATGCAAATATAATGTGACGGTACATATAGTTTGTAAAGGTGCACATGATTCAGTATTAACCAGTATCTACAATGTGTAATAATTAAAATAAAGATAAGTTTGTATAATAAAACGTATTATCCTAAAACAATTTAGTAATTCTTAATGCAGCACATATTTTTTATTACTACATGATGTGCAGGGTAAAGCTGGTATCTTAGATACTTAACAAAACTGGTATTTTGACTGATCTGTGGGGTCATATCTAAAGATCTGTCAGTCACTTGTTTTATTGTTCTTATTTTGCTATAGAATGGGCAGGATGTCAGCGGGTGGGTATTTCTCCTGACACTCACCGTGTTCCATATCACATCTCATTTGGCTCAAGGAATCCGACAAGTACAGGACGACAAAGGTATAGATTGATAATTTCATGCTGTTTATTGAAAGGGATGACTTGAAATTGATGTAAAGTCCCTCCATGCCCCTAAAAACCCTAATGTAATTCTCATAATGGGTAGGTTTTTACCTTTATTTTCTTTCTACTAAGTGTATTCCTTAAGGCATGAAAGTTTAATTAAGGGAATGGTAAAGCCATCCAGATTAAACAGTTTTACTTTTTAAGTGGATACACCATATAAAAAGTTTGTGCTTTTAAATGGGGGCCGTCACTCCTTTAGAACATTATATCCTTGAATAAACCTTTACCTTGTCTTAATTTTTTATTTTTATATATTTATATTGTGTTGCTCACTTTTATTTTAAATGTATACTAAAGGGAGACTCTTAAGCACCCTAATGAATGATCAATCATGCCCCTGCGGTCTTGATGCTCAATTTGCAGCCATTAAGGAGTCAAATAATCTTGTTTCTGCAGCCTTGACCAAGCTTCTCTTTTGAAGTAACACACAGCCTACCTATTCTGTTTCTTTAAAACAATTTGATTTTTAAACTTCCTTTATTGCACAATAATCTAGAATGTTATGTCTCCTGCCCTGACAATTGCCTACTGGTGCCTACTGCAGCCTCCTCTGTGTGATTTAAAGTGTAATTCACAGAGCGGGAGATAAGACATTCTAAAAGTAAATACACTGTGTTGTAAAAATGAAATTTTTTTTTATTTATTTTTTTTTTCTTGAAGGCTGTGTGAGTCGTCATCATGTGAGGTGTGACTATGTCTGCATAAACAAAATGATTTAAAGGGACACTATAGTCACCTGAACAACTTTCGCTTAATGAAGCAGTTTTGGTGTATAGAACATGCCCCTGCAGCCTCACTGCTCAATCCTCTGCCATTTAGGAGTTAAATCCCTTTGTTTATGAACCCTAGTCACACCTCCCTGCATGTGACTTGCACAGCCTTCCATAAACACTTCCTGTAAAGAGAGCCCTATTTAGGCTTTCTTTATTGCAAGTTCTGTTTAATTAAGATTTTCTTATCCCCTGCTATGTTAATAGCTTGCTAGACCCTGCAAGAGCCTCCTGTATGTGATTAAAGTTCAATTTAGAGATTGAGATACAATTATTTAAGGTAAATTACATCTGTTTGAAAGTGAAACCAGTTTTTTTTTTTTCATGCAGCTCTGTCAATCATAGCCAGGGGAGGTGTGGCTAGGGCTGCATAAACAGAAACAAAGTGATTTAACTCCTAAATGACAGTGAATTGAGCAGTGAAATAGCAGGGGAATGATCTATGCACTAAAACTGCTTTATTTAGCTAAAGTAATTTAGGTGACTATAGTGTTCCTTTAACTCCTAAATGGCAAGAACATGATCTATACACTAAAACTGCTTCATTGAGCTAACGTTGTTTTGGTGCTTTGAGTATTCGTTTAAAGACTAAGCAATTGACAAAAAAAACCTGGTCCAGTCACAGCAAGAGCACACATTGCATCGGAGGAGGACAAACAAACTATTTGTGTCCTACATTTGTTAAATGTAGGGGATGCATAACACCGCAAATGTGATGGCACCACTTGTATTATTGGTCTCTTCCAATCTTCTAACATTATTTGATCTGGCATTTGCTTGCTGTTATGTATCCACACTCTATTATTGTAAAGCATCGCAAAATATGTTGGCAATATAGAAATAAGGATTATAGTAATGTATATTTTAGTTGTCTATAATTGTGATGGTTCAGGCACTTGCCATTGTTTTGAGCATGCATAATTAAAGTCTATTTGCTTAGGGCCTGTTTTACGGGTGTGTAATTGCACTAGCAGGGACTGAACTAGTGCAGTGGGGTGCAACCTCTATGATGTCAAATTGGTGTGTTATGATGCATCTTTAAGGGTGCCTTAACAAGTTTAAGGAGACATGACTTTCACACTCTGCTGATCAGTGCCCACTTATGGACAATTGTCATGTCACCATTAGGCAGCATGTGCACAGTGCCTGGCATTTGTAAGGCACAAATTTACTGTTGGAGCTTTTTGAGTTTAACAGAGTGTCTTTCTTTCTGTGAGGGTGCAAGAATATCAGAGTTTATGTGGGAGCATTTGTGATTGTTTTGTTTGTTTCTGAGGGTGCCAGTAAGAATGTGTCTAAGTGCATTTTTTCCCCCGAGTGTTTGACTTTAATAAGGACTGTGTATTACTGCCTTTGAGAGCTCTCTCTGCCTGGTTTTGGTTTTTAGTTTATTTTTGAATGGTAAATAAACAGTTTTAAAAACAAAATAATCAAACCCTTCTAAATAGATACACTGTTGTAGGTTGAGCTTTCCCCATTTTAAATATGTACAAAAGGAGCCACGATTATGAATCTGTGGGTTATTATTGTTTCTTTCGGATATGACACTGGAAGACAATGGTTCTCCTGAATGCTAATGGTCACTTAGCATAGCAAAATAATCCACTGTCTGAGAGGTGATCTGGGCATATGGTAGATTAGAAACATAGAATGTGACGGCAGATAAGAACCATTCGGCCCATCTAGTCTGCTCAATTTTCTAAATACCTTATCTTATAGTTAGGATAGCTTTATGCCTATCCCACGTATGCTTAAACTCCTTTACTGTGTTAACCTCCACCACTTCAGTTGGAAGGCTATTCCATGCATCCACTACCCTCTCAGTAAAGTAATACTTCCTGATATTATTTTTAAACCTTTGCCCCTCTAATTTAAGACTGTCCTCTTGTTGTGGTAGTTTTTCGTCTTTTAAATATGGTCTCCTTTACTGTGTTGATTCCCTTTATGTATTTAAATGTTTCTTTCATATCCCCCCTGTCTCGTCTATCCTCCAAGCTATACATGTTAAGATCCTTTAACCTTTCCTGGTAAGTTTTATCTTGCAATCCATGAACCAGTTTAGTAGCCCTTCTCTGAACTCTCTCTAAGGTATCAATATCCTTCTGAAGATACGGTCTCCAGTACTGCGTACCATACTCCAAGTTAGGTCTCACCAGTGTTCTGTACAATGGCATAAGCACTTCCCTCTTTCTACTGCTAATGCCTCTCCCTATACAACCAAGCATTCTGCTAGCATTTCCTGCTGCTCTATTACATTGTCTGCCTACCTTTAAAGTCATCAGAAATAATCACCCCTAAATCCCTTTCCTCATATGTTGAGGTTAGGACTCTATCAAATATTCTGTACTCTGCCCTTGGGTTTTTACGTCCAAGATGCATTATCTTGCATTTATCCACATTAAATGTCAGTTGCCACAATTCTGACCATTTTTCTAGTTTACCTAAATCATTTGCCATTTGGCTTATCCCTCCTGGAACATCAACCCTGTTACATATCTTAGTATCATCAGCAAAAAGACATACCTTACCATCAAGACCTTCTGCAATATCACTAATAAAAATATTAAAGAGAATGGGTCCAAGTACAGATCCCTGAGGTACCCCACTGGTGACAAGTCCAAGCTTCGAATATATTCCATTAACTACAACCCTCTGTTGCCTGTCACTCAGCCACTGCCTTACCCATTCAACAATATTTGAATCCAAACTTAAAGATTGCAGTTTATTGATAAGCCTTCTATGTGCAACAGTGTCAAAAGCCTTACTGAAATCTAGGTAAGCAATGTCTACTGCACCACCCTGATCTATTATTTTAGTTACCCAATCAAAAAAATCAATAAGATTACTTTGGCAGGATCTCCCTGAAGTAAACCAATGTTGTCTCTGATCTTGAAATCCATGTGTTTTTAGATGTTTAACAATCCTATTCTTTAACATGGTTTCCATTACTTTCCACACTACTGAAGTAAGGCTTACTGGCCTATAGTTGCTCGACTCCTCCCTACTACCTTTCTTGTGAATGGGCACAACATTCTGACTTCCAATCTTCTGGGACTACTCCTGTTAACAATGATTGGTTAAATAAATCTGTTAATGGTTTTGCTAGTACACCACTAAGCTCTTTTAATAGCTTTGGGTGTATTCCATCAGGTCCCATTGACTTATTTGTCTTTACTTTTGACAGTTGAAATAGAACCTCTTCCTCTGTAAACTCACATGTAATATGACTCATTTGCCCTTTTTCCTAACTGAGGTCCCTTTCCTTCATTTTCATTAGCCAGTTTATATAAGCTAGATTTGGAGAGAACTCATGTGTAACATTTCACACCTTGCAAATGAGCTCTGTAATCAGTTTCAGAACAGGAATCCATGTTGTAATCCTTCTGACATCTATCATATTTCTATACAATTGCATTTAACCCTCCTTGTGCTGAAATTGACAATACTGGCTCTACCAGGCAGCCGATCCATGTATTCGATACACAAATCCCATTAAATAGCAATATTCTATAGTGCAACAATGAATTATGCACCCTTGACATGACATGCTTTACTTCAGATCAAGCCATTCAGTTTGCAAAGAAAAAGAATCTGCAAGAAAACTTTACTTAAATCATGTATTGAAGTAAAAATAAAATGTATTTTTTTTTCTCCTGTACATAATCTATCTTAATCATGTTAATGTTTTGAATGTGGAAAATTCCTGGGCAAAGTTCTGAAATGGTGTAATCAGCAGATGGTGAAAATGACCTATTAATTTCTTTTCGCAGGGCTCCATCAGAAAACGGTCCATCTTCTGTTGCTGATCTTCAAAACCTCTTGAGCAGAATATTCCAAGGATCTCCGGGTCAAATGCCTAATAGGAATGTTTTCAATACCCCACAGGGAGCTCAATCTCCGTCAGGACCAGTTAAACCAGACAGTGCTCCAAGAAGTGACACAAAGGCCAAGCGGAAAAAGAAAGTTAGACGTCCTCTTCAAAAATGAACCAGAACATCGACGTACGACCATTTGCTTACCAGATAGGTGCATTACATTTGACCTACATAGACGGGGTTAAAATGTTTGCCCACAAAAGCTAAAGTTGGATGGCCATGACCTCTCTCTACCTTGATTAACCAATACTGCAGATGTCCCCATGTCCCTGACCATCCTGGACTGTATTCAATTTGGCCTGAGCCAAGCTGCCAAGGGCTTAAAACAAATTTCAAGTCTGTTGACTTCTTTGTATTTTTACTTTCCTGGATGCCTAGATTTGTGACACCTTGTTTCAACCCCATGTATAATAATTTTATGGGATTTTTTTACTGACTGCAAAGATTTCCTTTTTGTTTTCTTCCTCTAAAAGTGAACATGTCTTCTCATCATACCAAAGATACCTGGTGTACACAACTTTCTGGGTATAGGACAAATACTTCTGTGCATGTAATTTGTGAGACCAGGTTATTGCAGACAGGGAATGGATACATCCTTGAATGTATAAATTACTTGTACATAAACACAGGAATCTTTTTTTGTTAACTATTGTATTTTCTTGCTTTTTACAACATACTTGGTTGCTAGTGCCATTGCCTTTTGATTACTTTTCTTTGAAATTTGTTGTAAAGGATATTATTGGACACTTAAAAGTGAAGAAGCTGACCATTATACCATAATCTTTCATAATTCTTCCAATCTCATACAGAGTTATTCCTAAAGGTGTAAATTGCCAAGAATTCAAAGTGAATTTTAACTATAGCCAGCTGGAACAATTCTAAAATTTAGCAGTTTTTCGTTTGGCTATTTTGGCCCAAAATTAAAAATTCACTCTGACAACACTTTCAGTTCTTGACAATTCCTGCTTCAGTGAATAACAGTATATTTGATTAGATAAAGCTGAGTGTGGTGCTTTATCTCAATCTCTAAGGAGGGTGGGAAGATTTGTAACTTTGTATAGGGAAACGGTGTCATTTTTATTACGAGTAGTATTTATATTAGTGGCCTCTCTGTGTAGCATTGTAAAATGCATACATACAAGTAAAAATCTAATTTCAGTGCAAGAGAGAGGATAGTTTTAAGCTCTATTTTCAGACTTAATGCATCAGATCAGTCAGGTAAAACCATGTAAGTAATAAAGAGCCAATACATGTTAAAGGATCATTATAGGGTCAGGAACACAAACCTGTACTCCTGACCCCATAGTGCTAAACCCACCATATAGGTGGCTTGGCCCCCCTATAAAAGTTTAAAACGCACCTTATTTCCAGCGCAGCGAGTGTCTGCAGGCACTGGCTCCGCCCCCTTTGTGACATCAAAATTGCTGATTTTTAGCCAATCCAATGCTTTCCCAAAGGGAAAGCATTGGATTGGCTAAAATCGGCATGGGGCGGAGCCAAATGCTGTTTTGGCCAATCAGGACCTCCTCATAGATCCATTGAATCAATGCATCTCTATGAGGAAAATTCAGTGTCCCCATGCAGAATGTGGGGCAGCTGAAGGGCAGGCCTGCTTTCTGTGCAGCCCTGAAACAGGAAGCACCTCCAGTGGCCACTTGGAGGTGTCCCTAGGGCAATGTAAACACTGCTTTTTCTCTGAAAAGGCAGTGTTTACATGAAAATGCCTGAAGGCAATGATTATACTCACTAGAATAACTACATTAAGCTGTCCCTTTAATGAATGTCTTAATGTCATGTACCCACCGGGTATCTCTAAAACACTTTGAGCCAGGTGAAGACATTCAAACCGTGCATTGTTTATGGGCAGGTACGTGCACAGGTAAAGTTAGCCATACCCCCAGAACATGGGTAAACCAGAAGAGGTATTGAAGAGCATTACTTGTATGTACGGCAGAATAAAACACAGGAAATATGACATATTTTGTAATAAGAGAAAGATACAGATTTTCCTTTAATTGGTTACCTAAGGTTTGTATTGCGTCACTGTAACAAAATGATGAGAAAATGCAAAATCCCTCAGGATTAACAAATAGGAATCAACACACTCTTCTGGTGTTAACATCTCTGACCCCTGCTAGTACAATGCTGCAGTTCCTTGGAACCACTTAAAACTCTGCGTCCTCTATGGCATTATATTCATAGTCCAGATGATATACTAACCATCCAGTCTGTCGCTTTCCTCACTTTTAAAATAAATATATCCTTGGGCAGCGGAAGTGTCATTGCTGTCACAAGCTTTACTGCAACAGTATTTGAAAATGGCAAGGGAGTCTGTGGTCACTTGCACAGATGACTTGCAAATTCTGGTCAGGGCTGGCCAATCTATCATTATAGTAAATTTTGTCAGGAACAGTGTTTAGGACAATCAATTTTAGCAAAATGTCTCTTCTCTACGTATTTTATATTACCTGATTTGTACAAGTCTACTTTCATGATATCTTTCAGTCTTGAAGGCCCATGTTTGCTACGCAGTGTGGTATTAGAAGCAGGTAACTGTTGGAAGAACCATTCAAGAGAAAATTTGACCAGGTTTGTCAGGAGGTCTCATGGAAGAGGACCACATAGTGATTTCATTTTACTTTGGTCCATCGCAGTAGATGGGTTACAATAGAATACCTGTAGCCTTTAATTATTATCTTGTGCACCCAGGCTGTGCTATAATTCTAATCTTCTGCAGTTTTTAAATCTGATTTAAATATTTGGAAAATCACTAAGATGTACAATTGATGAGTGATTTTCTAGGCATCGTATTAAAACAACAAATCAACATCACATTTTCCAAGTAAATTTGAGATATTGCTATTGCTCAGAGAACTATATTGTAAATTGAAGTATGATCCTCAGGACTGAGGGGTTATAACAGCCTTGTATAACATTTTGTTAAATTAAAAATTTTATGCTTTAAAAAGCTGGAATTGCAGTTTTATTTTTAATAGTTTGGTAACCTTTGAAATGCCTTCCATAATACTAAGCACATTGTAGAGTGTGATACGCCATGCATTCAACCAATATTAAGAACCCGTCTTTTTATGTTGTAGCCTTATGTTACAATTGTTTAAAATATTTTGTTTTCACATCCGTCTACACTCAGCATCCCATAATGAAAAATCAAACACCAGATTTTTGAAAGCTTGGAAAAACATTTTTAAAAAGAAAAAAAAAACAACTGAAATATCACATTGACATAAGTATTAAGACCCAGTACTATGACACTTAAAATTTAGCTCAGATGCATCCCATTTCTCTGGACCATCTTTGGTTCTACACTTTGTTTGGAATCTGCCTGTGGCAAATTCACTTGGTTAGACATGATTTGGAAAGGCACACTACTGTCTGTACATGGTCTCGCAGCTTTAAAGGCGTAAAACCCAAGTCATGAAGTCAGAGCTGCAGAGACCGGAATGTTTTCAGACACAATTTGGAGACAGCTAAAAATAAATATTATGACTGCATTGAAGGTTCTTTAAGTGGATGGCCTCCATAATTGTTAGAAGTTTGGAACAACTAGGATTCTTCCTAGACCTGGTGCCCAGCCAAATATAGGTAATTGGGGAGAAGGGCCTTGATAAGAGAGGTGAGCAAGAATCAAATAGTCACTCTGACTGAGCTTCAAAGATGATGTATGGAGATGGGAGAAACTTGCAGAAGGACAACCATCATTGCAACAGTACTGATCTGGACAGTTTTAAGCTTCTCCGTGAAAGCCTGCTTGGAATTTGCACACAAAAAAACAACCCTAAAGGGCTCTGACTGTGAGAAACAAGACTTTCTGGTCTGATGAAAAGAAGATTGAACTGTTTGGGCAACCAGGCCCCACTCATGGTATGGTGGTAGCATCTGGTTTTTTAAGTCTTTTTCAAAAGCAGGTCAAAGACTGGCCATGAGAAATGATCAGGGTTGAGGGAAAGCTGAATGCAGCAAAATACAGAGCAAATCCAGACGCTTGCTTAAAGGGACACTAAAGGTATCAAAACAACTTTAGCTTAATGAAACAGTTTGGGTGTATAGATCATGCCCTTGAAGTTTCACTGATCATTTATCTGCCATTTGGGAGTTGACTCACAAAGCCTGCACAATAATAAAAAAAAAATGGCTTCATTTTTAATCAAATGTTCACCTTCTTCGAGAAGTTTGTATTTCTTGCTCTGTAATCACAAGCAAGAGGCTTCTGCAGGGTCCAGATGGCTATTAACAGAGTAGTAGATACATTATAAATTAAACAGAATGTGCAATAAAAGAAGTTTAAACTTTAGATCTCTCTTTACAGGAAGTGTTTATGAAAGTTGTGCAAGTCACATAAAAGAAGGTGTGACTTGGGCTGTAAGAACAAAGTGATTCAACTCTTGAGTGGCTGCAGGTTCATGACCTATACTCCAGAACTGCTTCATATAGCTAATGTTTTGGTGCCCATAGTTTACCTTTAAGTGCTTTATGAGTGGAGTGTGACCTCATTTCATTTTATAAAAAGTGCAGATTTCAAAATTAACTACGTTACACCCTCCTGGTGATCAATCAGTCAGCTTGTAAGACTAGTGGAACTAAACTCAAGGCAGGCAATTGCTCAGACACCTTGAAAAGACTGAGCTTTGGGAAGTCTGCAATTGGACAGCCTCAGAAAGGCTAGGTTAGAAGAGGAGGACTTGCAAAAGCTTTAGATACAAGATCTGCAGGTTTTGCATGATGTTTTTAGATATAGCCTCATTGAAAAAAAACAAATATGCAGTTGAATGCAAGCATGTTTTCATTAAGGGTATACAAAACTGTTAGTTTTTTTTATATTTAGCCAATGAATTGTCCTTTTTCATGAAAACTTAGTCCAAAATGTTCAGGATCTTAGACTGGGTTGAAGGTTCATCTTCCAACAGGACACTGATCCAAAGCAGACAGTCAAAACAATACAAGACTGGCTTAGGTATAACTTTGTGAATGTCATGGAGTGTCCCTGTCAGAGCCTACACTTGAACCTAATAAAACATCTCTGGAAAAACCTGAAAATGTATGTCCATTGATTGGCCCCATCCTATCTGACCAAGATAAGAGAATCGGCAGAGA